ACAGCATCGAAACGAAAGCACAGGCTCGCGAAACTCCAGCAACAGCAACCAAAATGCCACGAATACCACGCCTTCTCCTCCGCCAGGAGCAACAACGGGCTCCTACCACGCCTGGCTCGCACCCCTCAAAATCCCCTTCCGAGCCTACAGCACCATGCAAGCAAGATCCCCTCTTACGGTTCAGCTTGAATCCAGCCTCATAATCTACTTCCTCGGCGACCTCTGCTCCCAACTCGTCCAAACCTCCTACTTCACGACCTCGCGCTACGAACCTATCCGCGGCCTGCGCGCCATGATAATCGGCGGAATAAGTTCCATCCCGAGCTACAAATGGTTCATGTGGTTAGGGAGAAATTTCAATTATGATAAACATTGGAAAGGGCTCGTGGTGAAGATTTTGGTCAGTCAAAGTATTTTTACGCCGGTGTTCAATACGTATTTCTTTGGGATGCAGACGCTTTTGGCGGGTGGGGGGTGGCAGGAGGTTAAGGAGAGGGTTGTGAGGACTGTGCCTACGAGCTGGCTAAACAGTTGCAAGTTCTGGCCTATGATTACGGCTTTTACGTTTACGTTTATTCGGCCTGTGAACAGGAATGTTTTCTCGGGGTTTATTGCTATTGGGTGGCAGACGTATCTTTCGTGGTTGAATCGCAATGCTGAGAAGGCGTTGAAGGCGAAAGAGAAGGCACAGGGAGTCATTGCAGGTAAGGGGAAGAAGAAGAGCGGGAATCAGAAGATCGAGCAGAGTCCTTGAAGGGGTCGAACAAGATTGGACAGGCTGAGCACTCAGACGTGAGTGCTTTGCGACTCTTGAACAAGGAGCAACACAATGCCAGCGTGGCTGAAGAGGCGCCACGATCATCAAGTCGTCGAGGTTTCGAAAGGGAATCCTGGATGACTTCTCTCGCTCAAAGCTATGGCTCAGGCTGAGAAGCGGCAGCGGTCATTCAAAGCATAAAGGTCTGGATCTCCGGGCGATCTCCTGCCGAGATGTTCACAAGCACTCGTCTCTGCGCAAGTCTGGACGTCTCGAGGCTTGGAGGATAGATCAATCACACGGGTGAAGACTGCACTGGGGTGCGAACGGGATTGCCCAATACTACTGCACTCTCTACCTTGAATTGCTATCCTCTGAGTGCTCAGCTATAATATAGAAGCGGCAAATGCGCCTGTGCATAGAAGACGCAGGTGCAGTGGAAGGGCTTCGCAGAGGCATCAAAGTCGCGAGTGTTGGACGCCAGGCCGAGCCAGATCTCAACTGAAGAGTAGCGCATGCCATGATCGCGAGAATGCCCGCCGTGACCAGCGGGAATTGGACTATCATTTCCCCAGCCTCATGTGCTGCCTGACGAGATATGTTCGTATTTAGCACTTATGCATGCAGGAAGAGGGCATTGGTCGAGAGATTCGCAGAGAGGCGATGCTGCCTACAATGGCGCGGTGGCAACAAGGCACCACGTACCACACACCAGCACTTGACATAGTGGAAATAATCTCATTGTACATCTGAACTCCTCACAACGAACATGCTTCGTGAACGCTGCAAGTTCCACCCATGCTGACCAGTCGTGTCAAGCTGACTGGCTCGTGACCTCGCGACAACTTCGAAGCGCCCGCACTCGCGTCGCGGGGTGGATGGCCATGTTCGCCGCTTATCACCACCGCCAACACTTTGCCAGAGTATTTCGAGTGCAGCAACATGGTCGCCGCTCGACGCTCACCATGGCCAACGCGGTCGTCGATCCAGCGGTGGATGACGACACGATAGCGCAGCAGCACGCGCCGGACGAGAGCGACTATGGATCCGACTTGGACGACGCCACACTCGACGAGTTGTTCAGTCAGCCTCTGTCCCCGCCACAAGGAGGACCGCCGCCAGGAATCAATACAGAAGATGTGGAAGAGCCGGTGATACCTCAACGCGATGAGTCGGAACTTCAATCAGACATTCTGCGTCTCCCACGCGCCGACGTGGAAGCGTTGCTCGCGACTTTGGGGCACGCCACTGCATTGGTGCAAGGAGCCCTCGATCAGCCAGTGCACGCGCTTGACGGGATTGCAGAGGCACGCCTGGGCAGCCCAGGTTCGGGGAAAGTCCGATACAGCAAGTCCGGCGACATCGTATCACCGAGTATGTTGAGCAGGAATGAACCTTCGAAGCCGAACTGACGGGCTGACAACAGCGGCTCAAAGCTGAACATGTAGGCGAGACACCGATCAAACGAGAGAGCAGTCCGATTGAACAGCCTGACACGAACGACACGCGATCACCCATCGAGAGATTTCGAAAACATCGGGCATTGACAGTCACGGACCTCGTGACGCCGGCATGGTGCGAGCTACAGTATCGGTACAGCCTCACGAAATATGGGAGGATCAAGCGAACGCCCGCCATGAAGCAGGGCAGTAAGATCCACAAACAGATTGAAGAGGAGACTCAGATCGAAGTGCCCGTGTCGACAACGACAAAGGAAGACCGATTTGGTGTGAACTTGTGGAATATTATACAGGGCCTGCGAGCGTTACGTGCCACAGGTTTGACGCGTGAGCTGTCAGTCTATGGGGTCGTGGATGGGGATGTGGTAGTTGGGAAGATCGATGCCGTATCTTACGCGTGTCCGGACGAGAAGTTCGAGGCTGATATGCTCGCGATGCAGGAGGCAGCGAAGAATGGGGGGAGCAAGATCAAGAAAGAGACGCTTCCCGCAGATCAAAGGACGATGACAGACTACCTCCGAGGGTCCCAGGAGCAGGACACGATATTGAACAGCCAGGCAGCCTGGTCAGGGACGCCCGCACGACGGCGATCAGCAAGGACCATCTACCTCAGCGATGTGAAGACACGGGGCTCGAGAACTGTCCCAAGCGGCAAGATGCTCAAGTCGACACAGATGCAGCTCATGCTGTATAGGCGTTTCTTGAACGATCTCGCGGCCAACGAAGTCGAAGCTAGCCGCATCTTCGATCTGTACAAGCTGGATGCAAATGCTAATTTCAGCGACGATTTCCTCGCCAGCATGGCAAAGCTGCAGCCCAGCTCTCCGACACCATCGCAATCTGCATTCGCGGGATTCGAGGTGGACGATGCGAACGACGAGATGATGCCGTCAGCAGACCACGACGTGTCCGGTTATGATCCCCTCGACGAGATCCTCAGTCACAATACCCTCTCCTCCCTCTGGTCTCACATGATCGCCGAGTTCCGTCTCACGATCCCGATCAGCTCAAGCTCTTCCTGCATCTCGCCGCTCTTGACGGCCGAATTCCGCGATGCGTCGAGCGGCTCTCTCATCGGGCGGCGGAGTTTTGCATACGACGCCGACGTACTGGAAGAGTATGTCAAGAGCGAAATGTCATGGTGGAGAGGTGAACGAGAGGCGCAAGGGGTACAAGACATCGAGGAAGCGGGCTACAAATGTCGGAGCTGCAAATTCGCGGACATTTGTACGTGGCGGATAGACTTGGATGAGAAGCATGGGCAAAAGGGGAAGTTGAGGAGGTCTACGATCACGCCGTCGGCGACAACGCAGTCGCAGGGCAGTCCGGTGGCGAAGGCTAGCCGGGCGTGAAATTTCCCAGAAGTGGCAAAGGATCTTTCTTGGAACGGCTTCAGGTGACGCCCTTCTACGCTTTTGTCTGCTGTGTCATGGAGCAAATGATGATGATGATACCCGGATGCATTGTTTTCCTGTCGACTTTAGGGCTGTGATGTGTATATATTCATTCTACGGGTTACAGACGGGATCTGCTTTTGTCCAATATTCTCCTTGCCCTCGTCCGAACATCCTAGGACCAGTTCCAATTCTGCAGACGTTCTCTTTCATGCCATCCCATCGTGCTTAGGGTTCGCCAATATCATTAGGGTTACATGAGCAAAAAGTCATGGGACGCCGGCGAGGTCGTCAACCTGGGCTTAATGGCTTTTGAACTTCATAGTTATAGTCTCATAGACCATTTGATATTGTTCCAATATTTCCGTCTCGATCGGTCGCCTCCTTGGCGAGATGTCGACGAAGTGACGAATTATGCTATCTGCTCAAATGCCACTTTTTGAGCAAGATGGGCTCAAAGCGTATGGGATGAGCTTGAGCTCCGAAACACGAGCGAAAGAAGCGTCAAGCGGGAGCGACGGCGGGAACCGATGGCAGTACTAGACAGGATGATAGCGTAAAATTGCCGCGTTTCCATATTATGTAGCTACTGCGAGAGACTGAAGACTGCGCTGGTGATGACAACAAGAAAGTGTTCATGCGAGCTGCCTATCTCCATCTCCACCGTTACGCTCCGCCTGACACGGGAGCTGAGCTGAGCTACTGCGGTCAAGGCCGTTGCTCTGAGGTAGGTGAGCCTGTCTGCTTTCCACGTTGTCACAGATGGCTGCGGCAGCCACATGGCCGCCAAACGAATCCAGCAAAGGAGAAGGCCAAACAAGAGGAGAAATACAACGACCGACTTACTTCGGGTATTACTCTTGGTTGCAAAACTGAAAGCAAAGTTTGGTCTACTTACCATTACTAATGTGGACTGCGAGGGGCATCCGTCGCCATCATCGCAACTGACAAAATTCGCAATACCAAGACATTGTTTGTATCTGTAAAGACAGCCAACCAATGTGGAAGAGAAAGAGAAGTGGTACTGTACACAGCATGTTCGAACACGAGCTGACAAGTAATTGGTTCTACATGCAGCTTCATTGCGGTGGCTGTTGATGTCCGAGATTGCGCAGGATGGCACCAATGTCGAGGTTCTGCTGTGGAGCAGCTCCGGGCTGGGCTTGCTGAGGCTGCTGAGCTGGGTAGCCTTGAGCTCCGTACTGCTGAGCGTAGGCTGCGTAGGCGGCAGCTTGTTGCTGTTGCTGAGCGTAGTATGCTGGGTTGGCGTATGATCCGGCCGGCGGTTGTTGGGGTTGCTGGGCGTAGTAGTTAGGATACTGCTGCGGTTGGGCGGCTTGAGGTGTGTTTCCGTATTGGAATTGGTATCCGTTGAATTGGTATGTCTGTGGTTGTTGCGATTGTGGTTGAGCTTGATATTGCTGTTGTGGTGCTGGTGCGGTGTACGATGTGGGCGCGGAAGCATGGTTCCCGCGGGCATTGTCGGTGTGGCGATTGGAGTGAGCGTAAGCGTCGCCGCGTTGACCTCTGTGGGGCTGCTGGCCGCCTCCGCCTCCTCGCTGTTGTCGCGAGTCGAAGCCACCTCTGCCACGACCGCCGCGTCCTCGTCCTCTGTCACCGCGATCACCGCGACCACGACCGCGACCGCGATCGAAAGATTGCTGTGGACGAGGTGGACCGCCGCCAGCCATGAGCTCACTGAGGTTGTCAGGACGCTTGAGAGGGGCATAGAACTCGTCTGCTGGCTCATCATCATCGTAGCTCAAGCCGCCGCCATAGCTTGAAGATGGAACGTCGCTAGCTCCGGCGGTGAACCGCCTGTCATCGGAAGCTGGAGGTGTAGCGTAGTCATGCTGGCCCTGTACGAAGGCGCTGCGCGAGAGCTTGCCTCGTCCAGCCTTCTTGGCATACTTTTGCTGTCGCTTGAATTCTGCCTCCTTCTCGTCATCTGAGAATTCCTGTTCATCCTCATTGACTTCCTCATCGTGGATGTTCGATGCATCAGTACCTTTGAGGTTCTTGAGCGGCTGCGTGAAGACAAAAGTGCTGTGACTGTCGACGTAGTAGACATTGGAGCCGAATTCGAGGCCAAGGTCCTTGATCTCATCGGCGTTGGTAAAAGCGACGCTGTACAATGGTTCTTGCACACGACCAAATGTCTCAGCAACAGCACCCACAACCTCACGCTTCTCGTTGCAGAGGACGGAGCCACTCTCAAGGACTTGATATTCGCCAGGTGTGACGCCTTTGATAAGGACCATATTGCCAACAGTGTTGCTTATGTTACCAAGCAAGGTTATTTTCATGTCCGGTGTGATAGTCACGTCTGGTTTTGGGATCACCTCTTCCTTGACCTCGTTCGCAGTCCGCGGCTGATAGTCCTTGTCTGCTGCATCCTTCTTGTGGTCTCCATCGTCGTTACCGTCATCTGCCATGAGCATTTTCGCTGCGGTTGCGGGATCGAGTAGCTCATACCCGTCCTCGCTGCCGCTGTCTTCGTCGGAAGAGTCGTCCGACGAAGTGTCGGAGTCTGATGATGACTCTGCATCGGACGAATCGAACTGCCACTCGGACTCCTTGCTCCCCTTTTGTGCCGCCGCCGCAGTCATGAACTCAGCGTCATCGGTGACTTTTTCTGGACGCGCCAGCAGGCCAGTTGTGTCGAGCATCTGCACGTCTGGCTTGTCTGTTGCAGCCTCCTCTGCCTTCGCTTGCGCCTCTACCGAACCCGCACCAGCTGCCGCCTCTTGATCATCATTAACGAGGCCTCCTGTACCTGCCGAAGCACTTTCCTGCGGTACTGGAGCATCGCGAACAATGTCTGTGGTCTCATCGAGGACACGTTCTTCCTGCGGCTCGAGCATGGGCTGATCGGGCAGACTAGTGACGAGGTCATCGCCTTGTGTTACAGCCTCGGCAGGCACGCCATCGGGAAGCTGCTCGCTGTCCTTCTTCGCAGCAGCATCACCTGTTTGTGGTGCAGTTGTCACTGGCGGCAGCACATTTGCAGATGTCGGAACGGGACTCGGCGGACCTGGTTGCTCAGCGGGCTTCGCTGAAGTGGCAGCATCGGACTGCTTCGAAGTGTTGGAGTCGTAGACATCATCCCAATCGTCTTCGTCCTGCATTTCGTTGCGAGTGTTGGTTGTCACGTCGAGCGGTGCTTCCAGTCGCATTCGCTTCGGCGGTCGTGCTTCGTCGGGCTCTTTCAGATCGAATTTGTCGACAGTCTCCGTCATGCTCTAGTACATGCTGCACGTGGAATGCTGTAGAGAAGGATGTGTTGTGATCAGTGTTGTTTGGGAGCGAAAGTTTTGGAAAAAGAAGCAGAGCTTCACGAGCTTTGACATCACCGCAAAAGTCGCGTCCGCGTGTCTCCCGCGCCGCCTCCTCCTCCGACCGTCCATCCCACTAATGCACGCATAAACACGCCTCATCATGGCTCCATCAACGCCCAAGGGCACCCACAGGCCCCGGACTGCCTCCAAGTCGCCGCATCGTCCAACAAAATTGCCCTCGGGAAGGCTGTAAGCAGTGATCAACGACATCCGCCAACCAATGCTGAGCCTCCACACAGCACCAATGCACAACCTCCGCTCTACGTGTCAACATTGACGGCTTCCTATGTTTTCCTAGCCTGTCATACCATTGCCGCTTTGTACAGCCCCATCCAAGACTGCGATGAGGTCTTCAACTACTGGGAGCCCACCCACTACTTGAACCACGGCCATGGCTTCCAAACATGGGAATACTCTCCCGAATACGCCATCCGATCATGGGCGTATACTGGGATCCATGCCATTCTGACTCCATTTGCCCGTCTGCTATCCAGGACGAAGCCCAAAGTCGCCGAATTCTACTTCCTGAGATTTCTGCTGGGAGCCGTGTGCGCGCTCTCGGAAGCGAGGCTGTATTCGAAAATTGCAGCTACCTTGAATCCGAGAATCGCCATCTACTACCTAGGTATCACTCTCACCAGTCCAGGACTGTATCATGCCAGCATAGCCTTCTTACCTAGCAGTTTTGCAATGTACTTCGTTATGCTTGGTACCGCCGCTTTCATGGACTGGCGAGGAGGTCTGCGCACTGCTCAAGGTATCTGGATGGTTGGAATCGGCGCGTGCCTTGGATGGCCGTTTGCTGCAGCCATGGTACTTCCATTCCTCGCTGAAGAACTGCTCCTGGCGTCTCTCAGTGACTTGTATGGCATCAACGAGCTGTTCTGGCGAGTCGTTGATGGGGTGATCAGGACTCTGATTGCTCTGGGACTGATCCTATGCATTGACTGGTTCTTCTACAAGAAGTGGGTTCTGGTGCCGCTGAACATTGTGCTTTACAATGTCTTTAGCAGCAAGGGTCCGGAACTGTACGGAGTTGAGCCATGGCACTTTTATTTGAGGAATCTCTTCCTCAACTTCCACCTCTGGCTGGTGTTGGCGTTACTTTCAATGCCGCTTCTCCTTGCCCAGCACTTTTTGCGTGCCAAAGGCGCGACGAGAGCGAGCTACCTTCGTGGCGTTGTCTTTCTGACGCCATTCTATCTGTGGCTGGCCATATTCACGCTGCAGCCGCACAAGGAGGAGAGATTCATGTATCCAGCCTATCCGGCCTTGATCTTGAACGCGGCGGTGTCATTCCACATAATTCTTGCAAACCTAGGCTCGACCGATCCCAAGGACTTGATCAGCAAAATTCCTGTTCAGCTGCGTCTTCTTGGAATCGTGGGATTTGTCCTCGCTGCCACAGCCATTGCAGCTTTCCGGACTGTGGGCACAATGTCAGCATTTGGTGCGCCACTCTCCATTTACGATCCGCTCCATCGCGTGGGCGTTACAAAGCCCGGAGACCAAGTTTGTCTTGGCAAGGAATGGTATCGCTTTCCATCACATTATCTATTACCAACCGGCGTTCGCGCGAAATTCGTTCGCAGTGAGTTCAAAGGACTCTTGCCAGGCGAGTTCTCCGAAGCTGGTCAGGGATTTGGGATGTTTCCTGGAACCTGGCTTGTGCCGCCTGGCATGAACGATGAGAACCGTGAGGACCCAGGCAAATATGCCGATGTTAAGCACTGTGATTTCTTGGTTGATGTCAATCTGCCGAGTACGCAAGCTACAAGTCTGGAGCCAAACTTCGTCGCCGACCAGAAGCATTGGGAGAAGGTTAAGTGCTTGCCATTCTTGGATGCAGCTTCGACTGGGACTGTCGGTCGTCTAGGCTGGATCCCTGATCTACCTTTCGTGCCGCTGAAGTTCAAGCGCATATATGGTGACTACTGTCTATTGAAGAGGAGGAAAGAGACAGTAGGCAAAGCGCAGCAAGCCTTGCCAAATATCGAGACACTGTTGTGATAGCGATCAAAGCAGCAATGACATCGATCTACCACCGAGCATGCACTCACACAACCTTGCTCTGTCAGCTGGACTTACTATCACTGGTACGAATTGCAGTCGTGCACGCGCGACATCAATCTAATATACGTCTCAGCATACGATGCAACGTCATATGCCGAGTGTATTCTTACCGCATTCGGACACTTATCGCTATCTTGCATTGGCCAAGGCGTATAGAAATGGGGCTAAATCATTCGACGTGGCACTAAAGCTATAGCTGCTGTGGAGGACACCGCGTATCGACCTTCTTATCGCGGGCTCTGAACCAAGCTTTGGCGGGACATCACGCGTATGTCGTACTGTACAAGATGACCCCTCAACGCCTTTGCTCGCGGCCAGCATCTTGGCTACATCTGCGAATATGGATACATTTGTCAAGACGAAGGAGTCGTTCAACGTCTGGGCTGACACTGCCTGGAACTCGTACAACCTTCCATCGTTGGCGAAGCAGCTCCGCAGCGGGAATATGGCGCCTCTTCCGGCTTCAGTCTTCGCTGCTATCGCGGTCTTGACTTTATTAGTGTTGGTATATGCGAAGAAAACGCTCCAACGCCAGAGACGACCGACATGGCTCAGGTCGCGATCTCCAGATCCCGAGAAGCCTACTGCCAGTGTTCAACGACCTGGCAAGGGACCAAACGCAGCGGATCGCGAACCTGGCAGTGAGCAGCGTCCCATATTTTGCCGGAAATGTCTTGACACTGACTCCGACTCAAGCATGGCAGCCAGTCGACTTCAAACGGCCAGATCCGGTGCCATATCCCGACTGGTCTGTAACCGAGACACCGCCACTGCCATATCGTCCCTTCCGCCACGGCCCTGTCTACAACATCACGATGGGGCTTCGCAACATGCAGTGGGATGAGTGGATCGAGCTCGACAACCACTACCTCCGCTACCACACCGACAAAGCCCGTCGCATCGCCGAACGAGGACCAAAGTGCTCCATGATCGATACATCAGACCCTCGCTACCTTGATGGCGCCCTCGAACTTCTCGAAGAACTCACCTCCTACCTTCCTCAACGCTACCCAACCCTCTTCCATCGCACGACTCATGGTCTCATCAACATCCTCACCAAAGAGACCTTCGACATCCGCCCGAACCATCTCTCCGTCAACTCCGGTCCTCGCGAAAACCCCATGCAACTCTGCGCACGCCTCATCCAAGACGATCTCGCCATCATGTTCGAGAAATCCGACGGAAAATACTACCTTCTTGCAGCCTCCATCCTCTTAGCCGGCTTCTGGCGCCTAACAGACAAATTCGGCATGTCATTAGAAGAAATCCATCTCTCCGGCGACGTCCCCGGCTACGAAACAAAACTCCACAAAGGAATGGCCAACTTCTTCCGCCGCCTCTCGCCTGAGAAACCTGTCCTCCGAAACAACTACTTCATCCAAGTAGACGATGATCTTGCATGGAGTCACAGTATTGGACCCGAAGATTCGGAATCACCGAGCTGGAATACTGCGCAGAAAGATAAAGCGATTGAGAACCATTTTTTCCGATCTGAGAGGCAGAGTTTGAGGAGGTTGCCGAGGAGCGGTGGGGTGGTGTTTACGATCCGGACTTATTTCGAGCCGGTGAAGAAGATTGTGGAAGAGTCTGGTGTGCCCGGGAGGTTGGCGAGTGCAGTGAGAAGTTGGGGAGAGGATGTAGGGAGGTATAAGGGAAAAGAGAGGTATGGGGATGTTTTGTTGGAGTTTCTGGATCGGGAGCATGAGAAGCAGGTTGCCGAAGGGTTGGTAGGAGAGGATGGTGAAGTTGTGGGGAGGGAGGAGGAGAGGAGGTATCCGTGGTAGTGTGGTTGTTTCCGGGTGTTACATGACTGAAAGATCTAGTCTGCAATGCGAGGACAGCTGACGATTAAGAGGATTTGTTGTCCGCACCGCTCTGCGTACGGGGAATGTGAATCTTCTTTCTTGGATATTGCTTGGGTCTGGGAACCTCAATCGCTCACCGCTATCTTTCTGACACGCTGTCCACACTCAAAGGTTCTTCACCCAATAGCCCCGTCTCAGACGTTACTCCTCTCCCGGCGCACCCCTCGACCTCGCCACCAGACTCGCAATCACCGAATCCGGAAGCAAATTAAACACCGAATGAAAAGCCTTATTATTCCACCCTACAATCCTCGCCGCAGCATTATCCTCCAAAGTATCCACCGCAACCTTCGCCACATCCTGCGGCTGATCAACACCCACTTTCTCAATTATCCCTCTCTTCTCACCATGCCCCTGCCCATCTAAATTCGTCTCTGTCACACCAGGAATCACACACGCAACTCTCACTCCCTTATCGATATTCTCTTGTCGGATTGCTTGTGAGAAGGTATGCACGAATGCTTTACTTGCTGCGTAGGCGGCTGTGTAGGGCACAGGCTGGAAGCCGCCTGTTGATCCGATGTTGAGAATTCCGCCGGATTTTCGAGAGACCATGTCCGGGAGGAATTGCAGCATCATGTCTACGATTGCGCGGACCATGAGGTCGACGGTCTTGAGGGAGGTATCCGTCTCCGGATCCTCAGCAAAGACGAATTTCCTTCCAAAACCGGCATTGTTGACAAGTAAATCGACTTTCCAGTTGAATTCTTCCTTGATCTGTTTGTAGATTTTTGCGGGGGCTCCTTGTTCTCCTAAGTTGATGGTGATGATTTTGATCTCAAGGTTTTGGGTGGTGGCTTGGATGGTTTTGGCGG